TGTTGAGTTCAGTAGGTACAGGACCATAAGCACTATCAGAGAAACAAACTCGCAGTCAAAACTTTGTTTCTAAGCTGTATAATGTAAACCACTCTTTTTTTATTATTCTTTTATAATACAACTCATGTAGCTTTTTTAAGGCAATAATAGTACAATGAACTTTAACCTGCAACCAATCCCTCACACCAAATAGTTTGCAGATTACACATTTTATTGCACTGAATACTTCTTGTGTCTTTGATAACCTTCAGTGACAAATTACCAGATAAAACACTGCTTTACTTACTAGCAACTAGTATATTAAGGCTTTCGGTAGGACTTCTAGATATATGGACAACACTGGGATTTTAAAGTTTTAAAACAAAATCTTATTTATGTAGTTTAGTTTCTTTCATTCCGTTGACACTATTTGTATTTATTGAGGTTATGGACAAATTTTCTCTAAACAACCCCTGGTGAGTCCCAGACAGCTGAGCCAAACCAAAACCCTTCCTCAAAACTCCAGACAGCAATCTATTGAAAAGGAAAATGGCTCATGGCAATACAAACTCAGAGAAAAGCCCCACAAACATCACTTGTGTTCCTGATGTTGATGTGAGTCTCAACCATGAGTGCAAGGACTAAAACATTACACAATTCACCATCAAAACTGGCACTGCAGACACTGCACTAATTGTGGTTTCCTAACAGCACCATACATTGCCATGTTAATAATTAAGTCTGTGTGGCACACTCTTCTCAGCACACAAAGTAGCAAACACGAGTCACTGAGCTGTGCCCCAGCTGCTAACACTGGAACAGAAACAGCACAGTTTATGGACTAGAGTTATTGTAACTGAAACAAAATTGAAACGAAACAACAAACAGCCCGGGAAAAAATGCCAAAGACACATATACACTGAGACAGAGTCAATTCTCCCTCTCACAAGAGAGATGCTAGTCATTACTGGGAAGGACAGGATCAGACAGGGCACAGAGACCCTATTAACAGGGATGTGTGTCTTGAAATGGTGTCTGATGGCTTCTTTGTGGATTTTTAGCTGTCTCTGTGGTCCCATGTTCTGCTAGTTGTCCTCTTTACAGCACTAACTGTTTGGATTTCTTTCTATGGGGATTTTCTCTATGTATGACGTGGCAGAACTGTGGCTCACCACCGTCTGAATTTCTTGAACACATGTGCAAGGGAAAGGTCAATATTATCCCTTTTAACTGCCATAAAAACCTGGCACATAAATCCAAATTCAAACTGTGAAATTGGTAAATACAGAACACAAACATATAAACATAATCCACCACAACTCTCCTTCTCCTGGAAAAAAAATTGACATCCAGAAGAAAATAAAAGGATGCCTGGTGGACCTAAAAAGCTGTTACATAGAACATATTCAGATATATGTTGTCCAGCAAGAAGGAGTAGATTCAAAAAGAAACTGAGAATTTGCAAAATTGAAATTCAAGATAATTGCCTCTTGGAGAGGATTTTACAGCCATGATTCAGGGTCTACACTCCTAAAAATGCACAGGAGAGTGTCTGGTTATGGGATTCAAAACAGAGCACACTGGATGCCCAGCAAACCAAGAGAAATGGACTTCTCTGTCCAGATCCTCAGACATCCTGTGCATCTAGGTCACAGCATCCTTGACTTCTTTAATTGCAGTCTTGGAGAGAAAGCCAGTGATACTGTATTAAGCAATTACAGTGTGATATAATAGCACCACTGTGTTATCAGTGAGGGGATCTCTCAAGGCTTTCTATCCTGCCTCATCCCTCAGTGAAGTGCCGTCATGTTTGTTGTGCAAAGCTTTGTTGTGCAAAGCACTGGCACAGCCAGCGTTAGTCAGGAGGGGGTGTGGTTAACAGTAAGTGTGATGCACAGGATTCCCAAGGGAAACGGGGCTCAGATCCCTCCAGGATCGTTCAGTGGTGCCTGTTAAAGTGGCACTGGGACTTTACAGGTCACTTCAGGTTCCTTTCAGCTTTCCTTGTGACACAACAAACTGTAAAAGCAACGCAACTTTAGCGGCAAGGGAGGTCTGATGTGTTGGAACAGATGCACACATGCATGGATTAAAAGAACAGAGATTAATTCCTATTAGGATTGAAGAAGTATTTACTAGTGAAAAGATTTCTTGTCTCTTCCCAGCGTGGAAGCACCTAGTAAACATCTGTGGGAAAGCAGCATGAATCTACATTTGTTGAGGAGTTTATAAAATTAGTCAAATTAGTACCTTTATTCCATCTGCTTTCTTGGAGCTGGATAAAATGTCAGAGGTAGGATCATGAGTAACATACAGAGCACTACATCTTACTCACATAGGACAAGCAAGTCTGACTAGTTCTGCCTCTCCTACCAGATAAATTCTCACTCAGCTTTCTCAATTCCCAAAGACAACTCCTTCAAAAACACTACAGGAATCCAGTCCATCTGGACTGGGCTCTGTTTTTCTTGATTCACTGATTCTGAACTCCATTATAAAAATGCTGGGATGAGAGTCTCACCTGACCCTGCTGGGTGTTTAGCCAGTTCCTTAGCACCTACAAACCTCTGTGAAATCAGCATTAGCTCTTGCACTAAGCTCCCAGGAGGCCCTGAGCATTTTGCAGGGTCAGGTTCTTTGCTCCCATGTCTCCTTCTTGCACAGAATTAACAATAAACAGAATGTTCTATGTTCCCATTTTAAAACCTGAAACTCACCTTTTTTGTAATTTTGTAATTGGAGACACCAATCTGATACGGTAAAGCATTTCACCAAGCTTTCCCAAATAATCAACTACAATTGATTAGGCTCTTATGTTGAGAAAATAAAATGTTCAGTAAGAAAGACCAAAGAAGAAAAAAAAGAAGTCCTGCTAAAACAACAGCTAAAAATAAACATGATTGTGCCTGCTATTGTTAAATCCTGCACCTACTTTTTAGGAATATGCAAAGTGAATATTAAACAATCTGGTACACTTCCTGGTGCCATTTCCTATGGCTCTGAACCAGAATTTCCACCCTTATTATGAGCAATGACTCCTGGAATTTTTTAGCCATGAGATCTAGGCTTCTGTACGATGAATCAGAGCTCAAGTGGTACAGCTGATGAGCACACAACAGAGGTCATTGCAACACCATGTTGTCAGACAAGTTATTGCTCACAAAAATATACCTAGTGCTGCTGTAAAGGAAAATTAACATCTATTAGCCAATTACTGTACTCTCCTTTCTGTCAGTCATATGTGTCTCTGCCTGTAATGCAGGAATGCACAGTTCTCTGAGGCCAGACCTTGGACAGGAACTACATGCAGGTGTTTTGCCACAGAAGATATCTGAATTTCCATAAAACACCCTCCTGTTTCTGTTGCTTACAGAAACACGCCGTATTTAAAACCCAAAAGTACTATAGGGAGGATGTTTCCAACTACAGAATTGTTTTGCATTTTAAACAGCTATTATTATTTTGTTTATTTTGATTATCCCTCTAATATGCCTATCAATGAGAATTAAATATCACACAACAATGAGAATGTGTATGGTAATTAGGGCAGCAATTAAAACAATCTTTATTATCCATTTAGATGCATATCACTACATTCACTCTGTGCCAATTACCAAGCAATTATTTTAATCAGTATCATACGGTATCCATTTGACATTGTGACCTAGAAGACAGTTTCACAGGAAAAGCTTGATACCACAGGCCCTTTGTACAAACCATTTCCTTTGACCTCAAGAGAATTTAATGTCTGGACTGGCTGCCTCTGATGCAACATCTTGTCTTACCCTGACTTGAGAAACATTTTTAGAGCTTACTCCAAAGCAGAGTTCTCTCAGTGAGTGTGCATGCCCAGAACTTTCATGATTTTTTATATCTCACAGGATTGATGCTTTGGAGTTAACACCAGCCCCTTCAACAAATGCTGCTCATACCAAAATTCAGTGAATTATCCATGTAATGACAGAGCAGTGCCATTTCCTTTGTGTCACAGATTCATTTTTATGAACTAATCTCTTATTTTTGCATGTGTCCCAGTCAGATCTTCAAACTATTCTCTTGGTATTAATTTCTCTGGAATTCTGCTATAATACCTGGAGCCACTGGAAATATATTCCAGCAGATCTCTTGTTTTGTACCACACACAAAATCCACTAAGGCTGGTGAAGATTCATTACAACAAAAATTCACTTTCCCATGCCACTGCATGTTTGGTTTTGCAGAAATCAGGAGCAGCCTAAAAATCTGACACTCTTAACTGGCCAGAATATATCCCAGCAAAGTCATGCAGCTGATCAAAATGCAGAGCACATATGTTTGCTTATACAAAAGAGGCTGGAAAAAGTGACAGAAAAACGCAAGTTTTTTTTTTTCAGCCTGAAACCTGCATATATAGAATAATCATAGGAGGTTTTTGGAAATACTGTTTTAAAAGATTTGCAAATGCACATAACAGTCAGCTCCAGTTTAGTATTCCTTATCTTTCAGTTTTTCAGGCTTATTGCCTGAGGGAACATTCACATTTAAATAACATGAAAAATGCTGGCCAAACAGTGTTTTAGGGCTTAGTTACATAAACATTCCCTTCAGGAACAAAGCTGGTGTATCAAGTCCTCACCCATTCCCCTCCTTTCCAGAGCCTGTTGTCTTTGGCTGTCCCTTTCTGCTTCCCATTACACTCCACTGCCTCCTCACTTACATTGCTACAATTGTTTCAGCATCATGAGATGAACCAGACTGCTGAAATAATTTGGATTTTGAAGCGCTCCTTTGTACTGAAGTGTCTTTGTTTAACCCAGATCCCATAAGTGACCCAAGTTTATAGCACAGCCCACATACATTCTAACTGGTACAACAATATGGTGCTGAAATCCAGTGCAGTGGGAAGAACAAGCAACTGGGGAGAGAAGAAAATGGGGTGAGAACTTCCTGAACTAATTACTTGCTAGAGAGAATGTGTTGAGCTACGTTTTCAGACTTATCAACTTATCACCAGCAAAATAAGTTTAGTAACTGTGACTCACCAATGACAAGGTTTTCTTGCCACATCTTTTTTCTCTCGGCTCTTCCACCCATTTGAATTTTAAAGAAGGCTGAAGGCTTTATCTAAGGGAAAATAAATCAGATCTTAAAGAGAATTTCCCAGAAAAACAATCAGAATGCTTTTCCCAAAAGCTTGAAAATCTAAACAAGAAATTGGACCAAATCTGTATCATTAAAATAGCTTCTGTTCTTTTCAGCTCCTGAGAGGAAAACAAAACAGGTATTTTTAAAATCACATTTTACTTTTATTTCTCTAAAATCTACAGAGTTGCCACTCCCTTTGGTGGTTTTGAGAGAGCATCAAAGCTGGTTAAATTCAAGGTCCCAGATTACAACCTACTGATGCTAAACGACCCCAGATTCATGATCCTTGCAAACCCTCTCGCTGCCAGAAGGTCCTTCAACAGGACTCCCAAAGGGTGGACGTCCGAGAACATCCCTGTCGTGTTCATCCAGCCCGCAGAGTCCAACCCCGTTCCAGAAACAGAGGACCTGTGAGAGAGCCTGCATTCTACATCCCACAAAATGCTGGAAGCTGCACATCCATGTATTTTTGGTCCAAATATTACTGAAGGCTACTGACAAATTTTTTCCCTGGCAGCTGGAGTATAAGCAGTAATGTCTGATGCAGTGTCTCTTTTCTGGCACCAAGTTTCAGCTGTAAACACGATATAAATAAAGTCATTTGGAAAATATGACAGCCATGTTTTCTATTTGTGTTTACATGTTCTTCTTTTACTTCCTAAAATCTTTGCTTGTAACTTAAGAACAAGTGCACCAAGAAAAAAAAAAAAGTGTCAGGGCACTACTCTCGAGGGACTTGAGAGGTCTGGTGATTTTGGTAAAACGACCAAGCAATGCCACAGCTCTGCACTCACTGCACCCCAAGTCCCACCTGCTCAAGATAAGCTCTGACAAATCAGCCTTATTTCTCACCTCTGCTTTTGGCCAAAGCTAAGAATTGTGTTATCAGTTCAGTGACAGCAAATTGTGGCCATTTTCCTCCTTTGTGATCTTACTCAGCTTTTATGAGGGCCATCGATACCTGTGTTACCTGGATTTGTTTACCGAAAATGCAGTAAATGTGGCAAGGACAAGGATCATGCAGTGCTATGAAAAAGTACAGAGGTATTTCCTGGATGTCTTCAACGTTTGTGTTGGTCAGAACTGAAAAGCCCAGCAATGACTGGTTCTGTCAAACATATCAAAATAGTATCACCACAAATGCTTTTATTACTAGAAAGAAATTTCATTTTCCCCTGCAGCCACAGTGTATGCTGGGACTTAAGAGCATGAGGGATTTCTTGCTCTTGATACAATGGCAAGTTGTGATGTTTTATAAATAAAAGTATATGTGTTTTTCAAATGCGATTTCGAGGGAGGTAGTTGGCAAAGGAAATTCTGCCATCTATTTTCTTTAATTTACTTTGTCACACAAGGTGCACAAACAAATGTACAGGTCCTGAACAAATCTGTGAAACTAAAGGAAAAAAAAAATCAGCCTCATTGACTGAGAATGCTTTCCTAGCAAGGGATTAGTTTGGGGACCTTAACTGTGCTTGGTGTACAGTTACATGGACAATGACAAAAATATGAATTCTTCAGGGATAAAAAACAAAACTAGTGAGGAGCAATGCAAACTTCAGTTTCCTATTTGTCCATGGATCCAGTGGCTAAACTCCTGACCCATGCTTAGGAAGTGTTTGGGAGAGCACAATTGGCAGAAGGAGGGCTGGGCAATGTGCTAAGCATTCAGCAGCAGGGATCCAAGTGCCAGTGTCCAGGAATGTTCCCTGGCTGCATCAGCCTCGATGTTCCCTCATTGGGAAAGTCCCACTGCAATAAACAAACCTCTGTGCCAAAAACCAACTCCTTTTTCACCAAGGAAGGGCTGTTGGTAAGGCTGGAAATTTTCAGAGACTCTCTATTCACTTCAGTGGGGTTTAGCACCTGCAATTCTTTTGTCAGATAATTTCATATAGCACTTGAAATGTATCCTATAGCTAGAGGAAAGCCTAGTTTTGGGTAACCAGTGACAACTTCAGAGATCAATATTTGTACTAATTTTTGTAGACAAAGAGATGGCTCTGAAGTGAGAGGATAAAGGTTTCTTTAGTTACAGGTCCGGAAAGATCAACAAATACATATTTCTAAATTTTCAGTGGTGCTTCTAAAGGCTTCTTTTAGGTATAACAAATACAGCTGCAAGGATAGATGGAATGGAAAAACACACAGGCAACAGCTTTACACAAACACAAACAATCACAAGTAGATAAGTAGTTCAGAAAATGTGCTTATAACTTCACGCACATTTTATCACAAGACACTCATATTTGCTTCCAAAAGAGAAAGGCACTGAAGACTATGATGAAAAGGCAGAAATATGGTGAGAATAAGTATACAGTTAAAAATATCTAGAAGTCTTTGTTCCCAAAGGGGTTTTTGCCCCATTTTTATTTACATTAAGGTAATTGCAGCAGTATAAGGGGAACTCAAAAATCCTTTGTTTTCACTAAAAATGTGGTGACTTGAGGAAATAGATCTTCTGTTTCCCAGTCCATATAAAATACCCCCTGATCACAGTATGTCAAAAAGAAATAAGAGATGTACAGTTCTAAAAAGTTCCATGAACATAAGGGTTTTTTAAAACAGATGCACCTTAAACCTCTTCTGACGTGAAAAGTCAGGGTTCATGGCCTGGACTGTCTGGACTGGAGATTAAATTTTTTTAACTGCGTGCTCCCTTCTTAGAAATCTTAAATATGTCAGCGTGTCTTGGCTGCTTTCCCTCCTGCATAATCCATACAACTGGCAATTGTGGAAATAAACCACGACTCTATTGTCTCCAAGTATCCCTGTGTTTAAATTAATGCAAGGCACATTGTCTCTATCAGAAGCAGGAAAAACACATTGGAGACGGGATTCTGATCCCAGTGGAACCAAACAAAGGTTTAGGCACCGACCTCTGTGCAGACAGAGGTTGTATTATTTCATCTCCAGTGTGCATTTGTAATCAAAGTTAGGCCACTGCCAAAGCTGCTCTGGGTTCAGCATCAGAATGGATATGTTGGATTATAGAGCTGGGCCTAACTACATATATAGTTCATTTTGCACTATATATAGGGTGAAGTGCAAACAACCCTAATAATGCCTTAGAGCATAACCCCCCCTATATGTTAGATTAGAATTTCCCATTGTGGGGTCCATAAACTATAAGCAGTCTAGACAGAAACACCAGAAGATCCCCACAGGGCTGACAAGTCACGTAGTGCTGGCTCCTTCATTATTCCCAGAGGCTACAAACTGTTCAGAAACAAATAAAAAGTGATCTAAATGATTTATAAATAGGATGTTTGCCACAGAGCTGTTATGTAACCGGGTGTTAGGATATAGATGATCAAAAATAGTTACAAAATGCAGTCAGCATACTGATACAGTTTAAAAACCAAAAATTGCACATGAAATACTCTTATTAAAAGGAAATTAAAAAGCAACTGAAAGGGTAAAATCCTTTCAAGGAATTAATATATTATCTTAAACAGCCTGCAGGTGAAGTGTTCAGAGTAAGTAAAAACTAGTACAGAGCTCTAACCTTTCTCTCCAAAAAAAAAAAAAAGTTACCAGGGTTTAAGAGTAGAATAGGGGTGACTCAGAAAACAAAAAGAAAAATAAAACATCACTGCAAGGACACAGCAATTAAACTATCCCAACACAAATAAAGGAAGTTATGACAGAGGTCTCCACAAATGGTATGGAAAAGATGAGGAGGGAACAATAACACAGGAACAAGCTGACTCTTAATAAAATGTAAGGAACCGACTGTAAAATTAACGGAATAGATATTTTTCAAGGAAGGTCTAGTTGTGGGACCTGGTCCTATAGGATGCTGTGGGTCAAAACCCATGAATAACTTCAAAACAGGAATAAACAAATTTATAGGGGTAACTATGCCCAGTATGGATAATGGTCACTGTGTGATCTGGATCTGGAAAACAGGAAGTTGCTTGAGGAAGATCACCATTTCTTTCTATAAATACCTTCTACTGGGCACTGTCAAAGATCGATGACAGAAGGATTTGGCAGCCCTATGAAATCTGTTCTGTCTGTCTTCCAAAAACCATGTGTCAATTCTAGCATGTGCTGCTAGAATGGTTACTAACTGACACCAAAATACCCACTGTGGGAGCAGTCAGAGGAAAACCGGTTTCCACATGGGAATGGGAACACTTCAAGGTAAGCTGGACCCAGAGGGAGCCAGGGTTAACAAGTCCTCCCACACAGGGTATGGGTGCTGCAGGGAACACAAACCCCCAGCTCAGCTCCGCCTTTGGCAACACTCCTGATCCTGTGCAGGGACCTCACCCTCCTGCAGCCACACTCACCATGTTCCCTGTCACTGGAATGTACCAGCTCCCAGCATCCCAAAGGGATTTTTCAGGAAGTTATGGTGTTTCATACAGAGTTTAATACAAAGCAATAAAAGAGAAAGTTTCACTTTACTGATTAGAAAACAAGAAGAGTCTTGGGAGAAAAGAGTCTGAAAGACACAAGCTTGGTACCAGGCTCCATCACAGACTGGTTTAGAACATAACATATAAAAGCTGATCCTCAGTTTTCCCACTAATAAAATAGAAATACTAATGCAGGCTGCAGAAAGAGTTTTTTTATTGTTTGTCTGTGTTGGATTTTGTTGTTGTTGTTTTGTTTTGGTTTTTGCTTTTTTAATTTTAAAGAAGAAATCTCATGGTAAAAATAAAGAAAGTAAAAAATAGGTTTACACGAGTACATACATAATATTCCAGGTTATGATTTATAATGAATGAAAGAAGCATTACTAGTAGAATAACATTCTACTTTCATTTTGGTTGAAATAGTGGATTTCATTCTACAGCAGGAAGATTCTATCTGATAAAAGTATCAACAAATTAGTATTTGACTTTTTAAAATAAAGATACAACTTTAGCTATCAAAAAGTCCAAGTAACTTCTTTATTACCGTTATTTTTGGCCAAAACTAGAAACTAAATCCAAGAATAATTTACAAACCTTTTGTTTTCAGATGGAAATTGGATTTCCTGAGAACAGACTATTCATCCAAAATACCTGGCCCAGAATTTGCAATACTTCCCTACTTCACAAAGACACTGTGAGACAAAATTAAATAACACTTGCAAGAGGGGGAGGATTTATAAATCACTGCAAGAGTGAAAATAAGCCTGGGTATTGTGAGCCAACTATTCTTTCAAAAGCAAATGGAGATTAAAATATTCCACGGTGTTTGTACAAAGAACAGCCTGAACTTTGCCAGTTCAGAGCTGGCTGTACTCCTTAACACAGGAATGCCCTCAGGCTGCTTTGTGTGGAAGGTGTAACTCGGCACTGGATTGCTCTGGAGTTCTGAAGGACATCTGGACAGTCATCATCCAAAAAAAAAAATAAATAAAAGCTTGGAATCTTGAGGAGATCTTGGGTGACAGGAGGCCAACAATCCCCCCGGTGGGAAGGCTGGCAGTCATGCAGCAGTCTAGAGCATATCATTCTACTTCCTTTTCCTTTGGAAAGTTTCTCTGCACAGCCAAGTTACTCAGTGTAGGCAAACACTGCCTTGAAACAGTAGTTACTGTAGTCATTACGCTCAAGATTACTGAAAGATGACTATGCAAGATAACTACAAATGACTATAAACAAACATTTGAGGCACGACAGGCTCTTCCTAGGCTGGCCTACTGTACGTCAAGAAGCCAAGTAAGGCTCGATTCTGGCAGCGAATTCCAGCATTATGTCATTCCTCAAGTTCTTAATGAGAACATTTTGACTATTTGCTGGCAAGGACAAAAATAAGAACAAGCTGTTCAAATAGGAAGGAAAAGAGCAAGCTGAGCAGTTACAGAAAGCACGACTGAACTAAAAGGCAAGTGCTTATTTTCTAGCTGGGTTGTGCAGTGATACAAACACATTTCATTAATGTATCAGTGTTGAAAAGAAACTGATACTACACACAGTTCAAAGTGAAGAGTCTCCATATATTTAACAATGTTACTTTATCATTCTTTCAGATATGGCTTATAAAATAGGCAGAGAGAAGGGAAAGTGTGGAAATGGGAAGCATTGCTGGGAAAGAAGCTGTAAAGCAGATCTGCAACTCTAGGGGTCCATGAGATAAAGACAGTGCCATTCTATAATGTTTGCCTTGCACATGACACTTTCTCTTAGCAATGTTTAGAGGCTTTGACAGTTAAAAAACTTACTCTAATTTTCACTCTAAATTTTTTCATACCCAGCTTAGAAACATTTCTTCATATAACTTTTTTTTTTTTTTAATAAAAACAAGCTTCCTTTCCTGTCACATTTGCTTCAACTAGTATATTCAAGGACTGTAAGGTCTTTTATGCTTCAGTTGTCTAAACTAAGCAAGTCAAGTTCTTTTAGTCTCTTGTCCTCTCTTTTAGTAAGGATTTAAAATTTTTCGGTTTTACAGCTCTCCTAAGTTCAATTTCCTGATCTGTTCTCAGTTTTTAAAGTCTCACCAGCCACAGGTACCATTAGTACATGTGCCATTAGTACTGCTTCATCTGTACAAGAACTGCAAGACTGAATTTACATGGGACTGAATTCACATTTTCCACAGCAGCATCGAATCAGTGACTCACAGACCCTCTGTGCTTGGCTTATACACCCAGTTCTTTGAAATTCTCTCATCTTTCATCTGACAAGCCCTGAGCTTGGCTAAGCCTTTCCTATTACGCCCTAACACATGACTTTGTACTTGGTGTTACTCTAACATATCCCATTTTACTTCTCCATTCCTCAAGGTCATCCAATTATTCCGGTCCGACGTCACCCTACAGGGAGTGTTTCCCAACTTTGTGATGTCAACAAAGTTCACGGCCAAGTTCTAGTTTTTGTGCCAAGATCACTAATGAAGACATCAACAATACCAGTTTCAGTATCAATTACTGGACAGAGCTCCAACAACATCCCCCTGCCATTCAGCAGAACATGCTGCCACCTTTTCCTCTGGGCTGTTTCTTCACCTATCTGACACTTACCTTAAAAATTCCCCTTTTCTCCAGTTTAACGAATTTGTTTGTCTAGAAAAGCAGTTACGGTATCACAGAAAGAAAACAGGCAAGTCTGGCATGACCTGTCTGTGACAAAAAAATGTTTTATCCTATTTACTTCCACATTCTGGTTTTTTTCTGAGAAGCCATCAGGTTTTTTGATTACTTTTGTACCGACTACAGTCATACAGATCAGATTTACACCTGTAAAGTAACTTATTCATTTGCAAATGAAAACAGCTTCTGTGAACAGAAGTGGGGTTAAACATTTTTATATTACAACATAGACTATGAGCAGTGAGAACACCAAAACACTTAACAAAGCAATTGCCTGGTTTTTTATCAGCCTATTCTATACCACAATCCTGTTAAATTTTATTTAGTTATAGACTGAGGAGCATGAGGAGTGGACTGAACTCATGTATTTTAAAACAAATAATGTTCAGTTTCTCACATGGGACAAAATAAGTTTTTTAAATTCTTGCTATTTTTTTCTGCATTCTATTATCTGAAGTATTTATTTTTGACTTCTGTGAGACAGAGTATATATTACGTACTGCTACCCACTGTATTACTTCTAATTTTATACTCACTAAATATTGCTCTTTTGTCTTCATTTTACTTCAGGTTGGATTTCACCTGGAAATCTCAACTTAGCCACAGAAGTTGTCTGTGTGAATCCAAACCTCTCTGTCTTCCTTTTCTTTTTCTGTTGCAGACATCCACTGGCTTACATCCTAAGAGGAAGCAATAAATGAGACCTGGAAACTTGAAAGGATTGTCCAAGACTGATGCAATACAAACAAAGATCAACATAAAAACTTTATTTATTCAAGAGTACCCAGAGGAGGACACAATTTCAAACAAGTGTCTCATATATACACAGCATGCATAGAATTTCCTTATACTTCTACTGTTCCAGAAACTAACTTTAAAAACAGGACAGCCTAAAATAGGAAAGGATTTCAGTTGCATTGTTGTTCCACAGAAGTAGATTATTGGACTGGAAATTGGATTATCCAAGAGGAAAAATATTCATTTGCAAGACTTACACAACCCCCACCCTTTTCCTTGTTCCTAAAGAATGAACATAGCCAGGCACACAGAGACCTTGTTCCAGGCCCATTATCATCAAAAAGTCTGCAGAAGAATGCAAACCAATGTTTCTTTTTCTCAGGGTGAAATTCTAGATGGCTTCAAGGAGATTGCTTTTGCCACCCCATTGAACATTTTAGCACTTGAAAACTACCGTGAAAAAAATGTATAGTCAGGCTAATGTACAATAAGAGCAAGATATATTGTGTTTGTTCCTGCACCTGCTGGAAGAAAACTTTTTAAATGGTGGTTTTGCTCTATGAAAGTGTGTCTACAGCTAACTGAGAGGAGAAGGAGGGAGAAGAAACTTGAACAGAAACGATGGGAAGGTTTTTTTTATAACCTAGCTAAAATAAACCAATACTTAACACTCTCATTGCTTCTAAAACTTCACTTGGAGCTCTCGAGATGAAAAAAACCCCAGTGATTCTTTTTTCAGACAGGATCAATCTTCTCCTTCTTTCATTCATGCCTCCTTATGTCCCCAATTTACATGTACAAATTTTAGACTCTATGCAGGATGTGGGAATGAGATCAATCAGATGACTAAGCTTCATGTGACTGCTTGCTACAGTCGACATGAGGAAAGCACTGCTAGAGTTTGTTCAAAAGGAAAGGTTGTGGGTATAGGTCCTCATGGTAGGGGAGGCTTGAGCACTGGAATAGAGTTAGGTAAAGTTACCCATGAAATAATGTGTCCTCACTTAGCTTACTGAAAGCTGAATACATATTTTTCACTTCTGCTCTTGTTTTGGATCTTTTCATGGCAGTACAGCTGAGCATACAACCTAGAGAACTTGGACTAAAATGTTGTTAGGGCTTCCCTACAGCCTCCCTAGCAAATGCACATGATTATTTTATGCCACAAACAATAAATACCATTTACTTTTTCTCTGGTTCTTTTACTCCTTTATGGCTCTCCTTCCTACCAATGTGTTTTCCTCATTATGGGTAACTCTTGCAGCACGATGCAGAGCACTGTGTCCTTTTCACTCAAGGAAAAAGACAAGTAACTACAAGAACATCTTGGAATTTGAGGGATTTTTTTTCTCCTCTCAGGGCAGAAAAGTTTAAACATATGATCTGACAATACCCCAAAGGCTCAGAGAACATGGAAAATCACGTACTCTTAAGTAACCCTTACCTTACTTAATGGAACTTTATCCTGCTACAGCCTATGCACAACAGGCCCAGTTTCCCTGCTATCTTTCAAATTACATTTTCTTCTAGAAGAATGATTTTCTTTATCCTCTTTTCTTCTGAGAAGAGTAGCACAGCCTCAAACATTTTCTTCAGAGCTCAGTAATTACTTCACAAAAAACACGACCAGCCACTGGAATGAAACATGCATTTCAATTTAAATGGCAGTGTCTCCCAAGTATCTTAAAGTCAATGTTAAATGGTACTTGATCACAGAACATTGTTTATGATAGGCCAATAAAACAGACTGAACCATAACAGGCAGTATAATGTGTAGTGCTGAATTAAATGCAGTGAAAAGACTTTAAAAAAAGAGATGTAACTAATAAACCACACCTTAAATTCTGCAATAGCTTGTGGAATTTTCTGCCTCAGACCCTACATGTAATTTGCTAATTTACTTTTTGCAAAATCCCTCAGTAAGTACAGACACAGTTTCTGCTAAGAATACCAATTTGATTTCCTAAGATCAACAGCTCATAAGGAGAAAGATCCATGCAGAAGAATAAGAGTAACAATGACAAAATCAACTACTCAGTACAACATTACTTATTTAAAAAAAAAAAATCCTCAAAATTTAGCCTTTTATCCCTTCGATCTGAGAAGATTTGAAGAAGACATAATTTTTGTATTAAACATTTGAACATGAAGAGGATAGCAGCTGGCTGAAAAGGTTGCTGTAAACATGTCCTAAGCACTAAGAAGAAATACGAAAGAAATTAGAGAACAGGTGTTCCAGTAGTTCCTGCTACAGGTAGGAAAATGTTCATAGAAACACCGTGTACAATAAAATTATTTCTGGGGAAGGAATCAGAATTTATCTACAGATCAGCCAGTGGCAACAGCAGTATAGATGGCACTGGAAGAGTAAAACTGTACCACAAAAATAAACCCTTATGTGTGCAGCTGTGAAACACAGACCTGCAGCTCAGTCACCGATGAAAATGATGCACAATGCCTGCGTGTTTGACAAAACCTACTTAATGTGATTACTTTAAAACCTTTTGATGTCTCCTATCCATGTTAAGATTTTTCTTTTGGCATGAAACTATCCAATAAGTATGTTTTAACCTGGATTGCACATGTGTAAAACCCCACTGCCCTGGATGTGCTTAAGGATCTGGATATGGTGTGCCTCCATTCTCTTCCAGCTCAGTGTTTCATGTCACACCCCAAACCCACCACCCTCAACCCCTCTCCTCCAAATTTAACACCTTTCCAACCCTCAACTCTCCAGTTTAACAATCTATCTTATTAATACTACCAAAGTTTGCACAAACATCAATGCTAAACCCGCATAAACATTCTTCTGGCCCCCTGCATCATGCCCAGCACACATCCTGTACTGACACAAACTGCAACAGGAAATCATCTGCCCTTGTAGCATTGTTTTGTTCTTGCACCATTTATTCTAATTTTAAAATTCTTCTGTTACCTCATTTAGGGCTTCCTGTGCCGCACCTGTGTCATTCTCTGTCTGAACTGTGTGGAAGACTCTGCTAAGATTCACTCCTAGGGAATCTTAAAATATGCCATAATTAAAGCTCACAGACTACACTTACTCGGAGAAAAAAAGGAACAGAAGAAACCAACATAAATCCTAAGGGACTTCTAAAAGATTAGTGGTGAAGAACAAATCCCTGCTGAAGAAAGGGCAGAGGCAAACAAGAAAGCAGGGTTCAGGGAGAAGCAAAAATATCAAAATGAGGTCATAATCAGAATGAGGTCATAATCCCACTTTGGGATACGCAGATGCCTTCACTTGACTGGCTTTGCAAAGGAGTAATGCAGGGATAAAGGACTGAACTGATAATAAACAAAACAATAAGCAGTGTTTTATATAAATATACAATAACAAGATGCACTGACAAAAAACTGGATTTTTAATGGTAATGTTAATATATCGACTGTTAACTTGGTTTTACCTTAAATTTTCTAGTAGAGAATTAGGAATTCAAACACTTATCAATAAACAGCTTAGAAAGAACTACAAAAAAACCCTAAAATTGCTCATTGTGCCAATATATCGTATGAGTCTTAGGGCAGTGAGAGAACAAGAGATTCAATTCCCTTCAAAAATCACAAAATCCAGGAAAATTTTAAGAAAACAAGAGGCAGGGAAATATGGTATCTGTTAAAAATTAAGAAGTATATATATGTTACTGGCCACCACATCTGAAAGGCTCAAGAAAAAAACCATTTCATACAAGTCCTGCATGAAGTAACTCCAACTTGTGAGTATGACTACACAGACCACTGAAAAACATGGCCATAAATATATATATATACACATACAAGACAAAATCTACAAAATGTAATAGAAATGTCCCCAATTTGGGATTTCTTTTGAAGTAAAAAGTTGGCCATTTGATGAAAAATGTTGGAGCGTGAAACTGAGAAAACTGCCTTTGCCAGTGGGCTTTTTACACTACCAATATAACAGGAGAAGCAGTAGCCAAAATAATCTGATTAAAATGTATCAATTTTTAACAGACAAGGATACAAGAACAACCGAGGTGTAGCATTTCTATAAGGCAGTGAACTAAACTGATGCAGTGCCTTATGTTCCACACAGTCACTTTTGCAATCTGGATGACCTGAAGTAGATGCAGGAAGGGAACTTTACAGGGAAATTATTTAATGTACTATTGCAGAAGACATTATTGGAAAACTAAACATGCTGTAATACATAGAAGCACATTTCCAATCCTGGAAAACTACAAAAAAGGCAATTGGAAGAGCGAGAATACAAGAAGTTGTATCCAGCAGCCCGTGCCAAGGACTGATGCTGGGTGTGGTAACACTTAAAATCTCATTGCTAGTCTAGAAATGAAACGTGTTAATGAAATCTCCATGTTTGTCCGGGAAGATGGTCATAATGGCGAAATATAAAAGGTCCTTGAGCAACCAGAAACATGAGCATTCACGAATACGGAATTCCTTTCGCAAATAACAAAAGGAAACACCCCTCCCTCGCCAAAATAATAGACCAGATAAAAATCATAGGGAACATGACTTTGGGATGCTG